GTACATGGCCTCATCCTGAAATACGCCGCCGCTGCCATGTCGCGGGTTCTCCGGCGACTCGTAATCGAATTGAGCAGAGGCACGTGCCATTGTGGGCGCATACAGGAGTGGCGAAGTCGAGCTAGGGTCGCTTTGGCAATGATGTCGCTTGGGGCCAGATAGTGCGTCCGCGAAGGGCTTTCGTAGACAGAAGGTCGCCTTAGGCTGCAGGTACTTAGGGCGCGAAATACCTAGAGATACAGCAAAGGCAGCGAGAACGTGTCGCGTGAAGAGGACCAAAGAAAAGTCACGATGGAAGGGATCCGCTCAGGTATTAATTCAACGCCAGCACCAACGCGATGGCCACTCCACATTTTGAATTCGCTAAAATCTTGGTAAGATTCTTTAGCACCACTGGCTCGCTACGATGTCCAGTTATCGAGCCTCCATTTCGGGAAGACTAGCTCCTCTGCACCTAGCCCGGGATATGCTTTGCAGTGCTCTGGCGATGATGGACTGGTTAACATCTCAGTCGTATGTCACCTTGATCTCCATTTGGAATTGAGAGATTTCAACAAATCTCAGGGAGTGGAATGGTGCAGCTATGCAGCCACAATTTGCGTTTCTGGGACACGCCAGACTCAGAGAGAGCTAATGACGGCGGCCAAAGGCGCCTAGATGCGTGCGTCGTGTTACAGTAGCGTCTCCAAGGCTTGCAGAAAGTTCGTGAAGGCCTGGAGGCAGGAATCGAACGCCCAGTTGGGTATCACTTTCACTAGCTTCCTGGAAGCCGCAGCTCAGCTCCGCGGTGAGTTTGCTGTCAACAGAACACACTCCTGGTCCTGCACTGACCCCTCAATCGCAGATCGTCGTCGTCGGTGGACTGCCACCATGCGAAGTCGGCCGTGATAAACCGCGTCATTGACTACTCCTACACCTAACTCCGCTTCCATCGCTAGAAGAGCGGAAGATCCGCAAGAGTAGTGAGCAAGATGGCGAGAAACAGGAAGATCGGCTTAGTCGCGAAGGTCAAAGAAAGACCCCCGCTCTGCATGCCGGGCATATTTGGGTTGTTGGCAGCGTTCTCAATGGATCCAACCATAGTGAGCATTTGCTCTTCATTTTCCACGAGGACTACGGCCATGCCGCTCTGTTTTTTCACCTACCATCAGTTGTTGTCTAGAAAGTAGGTGTTACATACCACTAGATGCCATTGCACGTGGCAATGGAGCAACCACGCTCCTGGATTGTCCGTGACGTATCTGAGGCACATTAGCTATGAATGTACTACTGCTAAATCATTTTTTCTAAAATGCTCACCGGACGACAGCCCATCCAGACGCTGGCAAGTCTATGGTGTCGCGATACGGTGGGTTTTCCAAGTTGATCATTGACGAAGGTGCAGCATCAACGGAGTTGTACGGGAACATGCCCTGGCCTGCGCCAAGGAACCAGAATTTATGGCCGTGAAGATGTATGGGATGTCCCATCTGGTGGAAGATTCGAGTCAGCTCCAGTTCGTAGGTCAACGTCCCAGGGTAAAAAGCAGGGGGGGAACTTACCACATCCATTGAATCATTCGCAACATGCATAATAAGGTCAATGGTGGCATTACCTGGTAAGCGCAGAGTGGTAGCGGAATCCCAACCATCAGAAACACTACCGTAAATGATTGGCGTTGTCGGTTCCGAATACGCCTGGTCATTGACCACCCAGGTCACGATCCCAGTTTGATTGATCGTAAATAGTTGCGTGACGTTAGACGGTCCGTTGGGAGGTGAGACTCCTTCGAAAGGCGCGAGCTTCTGGTCGTCCAGCTCGGAGGCGTCCAGTTTCGCAGACCCATTCACCAACATCCAAGTCAAGGAGGGCTCTTCGACCAGCGTCGCCCCAGAAGTCATGTTTTTGTCCTAAAATTGTCAGCCACGCTGCTATCAGGCAATTCCATTTCACATCTCACCATGTACGACATCATTGCATGGCCTTCGATAATCTGCTGCATATCGCCATAGGGATATGAAGCGAAACGTAGCGAGTACATGCCCTGTTGCTGATCAAGTCTGACCATGACGGAATATCGTTGGCCAATCGAGATGTGCAAAACCTGTGGCAATTAGTAAGCATATCCAAGATATGCTCGCAGAAACTGACCTTGACTTCCTGAGGCTCCACATACAATCCGTCTGCAGCGTATACTATCATCGAGTGTCCGTCAAGTGAAACACTCATCCGGCTGACCGCCGCTGCATTAACCAAGTGAAAAGCAGCCCATCCGCGCGATGCATCAACATCAAACATAAAAACGTCAGAGGTAGTGTTGCTGCATGTCTCTAGCGGAAGAGAGCTGGCGTTAAAACCTGGCATAAACATCATTGGCATACTGCAACCTTTAGGACCAAGTGTCGACATGTCGGACATGCCAGACATGCTGGCCGTGGGGGAACCCATGTCAGAGGCCGGGGAATCTGACATCGGCATCGTCATCGCAGTGTGCTCTGATCTTTTGCGCATGCTCATGGATGGGTCCATCGACATCGAACTCATAGACATTGTAGATGCGGACATCGTCTCAATAGGCATCTTACTGTTTGAGGTCTCTGAACTTGACATCGATGACATACTCTGAGATGGCATTGGCGTCGACATCTCCATAGGTTCAGGATCATGTGGATCGTTTGCAACGTAGGACTGTATTCCCAGTCCCGGTCCGGCTTGCAGCACGTTTTCGGGCAAGCATTGTACTCTGCCCTGTCCATTAGCCAGGAGGCTGTCCACGCACTGGGGAAATGCGCCAGTGGTGAAATATTCCTCGAAGATGAGATCCGAGGATCTATGATACCAGTCGGTCAAGAGGATTGGGGTTGCGTCTCTCTCAACTCGGAGCATCGTGTCTAGTTCTGCGCTGTCCGCAGCGAGGCTCTCAAAGGGACGCCGGCGCGAAGGAGAAGGATGGATGATCAGCGGCCCGCGAACGGCATCGTTGTAATAAGCTCGGAAATGGGAATGATACCAGAAGAAGCCGTATTCTGAGGCCGTGGAGAATCGATAGGTGAAGTTTCCGTTGGCTGGAATGGGAAACTATAGAGCTGTGAGCATTGTGGAGAGAGAAGGCGGTAAATTCACCGACCTGAGTGACACCCGGTACTCCGTCCATTTCTGCCGTCCCGCGTTGAAGAAGGCCTGCAGTTTTTGTGTCAATTTCATAGTCCAGGTCTCCAGAACGGCGAGAAGGACAAGATGTTAGCCTCCCAGGAGCAACTGACCATGCCAATGAATGGTTTGTTCGACACGTAGATTGTTCTGCACAAAGATTTCGAGGTCGTCTCCTTCATCAGCCTCAATCAAGGGACCGGGTTGCTGGTCGTTGATGAGATAGACCTTGCGCATTACCCCATCTGGCGATTTTGGTTAGATGCAAAGGGTGATTTGAGGTCGAGGCCTGATGCTTACCGGGAGCTCTGTCGCCTTCGTGGATGGTAAAGTTGTAAGAGCGAAGAGCACCAAGGACGCATTGTGAATTCAACCACAAAAGGAAGAGAACTATTGACTGAGGTGGTCGCATGGTAGGCTTAGCAAGCTGGCTGCGTACACCGTTTAGTAAACACAGAATGATGGTGATGAAGGATAGACTGTGCGGACCAAGAAGAAAGCAGCCAGAAAAGTACTATCAGTGAATCCAAAAGCCGGAATGAAAAGAGAGATAGAATGTGCTGCGCAGTCGAGAAGAGAGACGGAAATGCGGTATTGGTTTACGTGAGCGGAAGTAGCAACGTGTTAGGTAAAAATGGGTGATCGGCTGCGTCTTTTCTGCGTAAACTGCCCTATATGGTAAGGGGTTGGCTAGAACCTTCCCTGCCAGGATTCCCCCGATCTCCGCGATCTCGTATCTCTCAGCTTGTTCCTACATGGACACTCAGGCCCGAAACAAAGGAGATAAGGAGGCGGCTAGTGGCCAGATCCAGCAAGTGTGGAGTAGCTTTGGCAAAGACACACGGACAGAAATTTGATACCCTGATTCACGATCGTCCATCCAGGCTGTGATCTCACCAAGTTTTCCGCAACCTGTGTGGCACTGCGTGGAAGTCGCCCCTCTACCACGCACATATGTCGCATCCACTCACGCCAAGGGAAGGTCCCATTCGTAGGTATTAAAGTTTGGGCTCTCTAACCAGTAACTTGGGGCAAGCAAACATTCCTCCAATTTGCTTTAATCTTTTCCTTCAGTGCACCTGGTATGCTCGAGCGAAGAAAAGGAAAGGTTTACACAAGCTTTAACTCGATGTCAAAAACTTGTTAGAATGCAATATTGTAATGCCGCTCCGACAGCATCTCAGAAATGCCCATAATTCCACTATTTTGTCCCAAGGTATGTCTCTGGTTATATCATTGTGGTCATGGATTGTTAGCTCCTTGAACCTGTGAGGTATCAAAGTCAGTATTCGTTCTCAGCCTTCGCGTGTATCTCACGTGTGTTTCAGGTGTGCAACCGCCCAATTCTCAAAAAGTGGACCGCGCCATTCCTTCCGGCCTCGAGGTATACCGGAAATACAAATATAGCTTTGGATGCTGAATTTGCACTGTCTGATGAAGATATACGTACTTTGCCGACAATATTATATCTCTTGCTAAGGAATGCATACCATTCGCTCAGGACTGTCTTGTACACGTCCTCCAGATCATGCCATTCTGGTACGCAATCCTCGGGCTTCAAGCTGGATATGGCGAGGGCTCGGGATGGATCCTTGCCGGTGAAAACTGAGCAATACGTTTGTTAGTCTCCCTTTCTCATTGCCCGGTATGTTCATATCAATGCGGCATCGATAGCGTTGCAAACATGGGGCTCATTCGAAAACGCGGCTGTTTCGAAGCGATGGACAAGTCGAGAAGATGGTCGGCGTACCGTGATAAGGTCCTCCTGGTTGATATGCCCGATTTCGTGAAACATCGAAGACTGTGCCCTTGATTGCGATGAGTACAGGCTTGGAGGGGTCCGTTCCTGATGCAGATCAAATATCAGTAGCTCCGACCTAGCACACAGATTGATGTGTATTCATCTTTTCGCGTACCGTTGCACTTGCTAAGCTCTTCATAGGTGATGGGGTCGTCTTTTGGTGCGTCGAGCAGTACAGACACCTTTGAGTCGTCGTGGGCGCGGGGCATTGTTGGGCTAGAGCCGAACATTTTGTGTTTACGCACAGACGGTGGGAAAATGACACGCTTGATAAACGCAGGAAACCACAAAGATTATAGCTCGACCTTCTACTAAAGAGTTGACTACAATCGCCGGGGTAAATGAGCAGTAGGTCAGTCTCTTCAAGAGCAATTCGGGTAGTTATCCACTTGTCGAATCATGGCTGAGTTCTAAGGTTGTTTCGAATAGAGTTCCCCAGGGTCCATGCAAGCTGTGAAATGATCTCACGCCGATTGGGGCTTGGCGATTGAGTGGTTTTTGCGTATTCCAGTGGACCTGGCTTGTCTGGCGTCGCTCCACCGAGGAGGCTTTTGAGGCAGGGCGTTATCGTATGAGTTCATCCGTCTCGATGCGAGGCTGTGATTGTGGTTGACTCAAGCTGCAGATGCGAGCGCCCCACGAGAGGCCATAGCACGACATAACCTGGGATTTCAACCCCGAATTTATCTCGATCGCATTGGATGGAGTTTCGCCGTCTTTACTTCCAATTTATTGGCACAAAATTTCTTGCCGCTGGGTAGGTGCTGTAGCAAGATGTCACAATCAAAAATCAAGGTCAATGCTGTACTACGCCAAAGGCCGCACAAATCTCGCAGCCACTGTGCGTCAAAACCCTGCTCCACTCCAACGGACAAGGCGCTAAGCCACCTTGCGACAGATGAGTGCTGCACCCTTGCAGTAGCTGAGTAGAGCTATTGGTGAGTGTGGACAAAAGAGTGGCTGTGAGAAGAGAGAGCTGGACTGCCGACGGGCAACATCAAACATACAAGGAAATAAGGGCAAAGTCCATGCTCACATTGTTCGTGATTACAATAGCACCACGCGCGCCCACAGATGTTGCCAGCAGGTAAATGTACTCGCACTTGTCTCTATCTAGCGCAACGAACTTGTCTCGCATATGATCGTCGGCCGTCGATGATCACAGTTCACCTATCGCAAAGAAGCGAACAAGTCGAGTCAGGTAGAAAAATTTCTGTGCCCAAGACCTCTCTTGCTTCTTCGACAGTCCATGCAGCCTCCGTAGGAGAAGCAGTACCCTAGAGTTGGCCACGACAGGAGTGAACTGGTCTGCCGCCTGGCTGACAAGACCCAAAACTGACTCCAAGATTTCAAACAATCGCCACACTGGCTGATGAAAGAAACCACCTGCTTTACGGCACAAACCTCTCAAGCACGAACAGGTAGCCGCCAAACCGGTACCCTGATCTTCGCCTTTTGAGATTCGCTAGCGCTCCTTTTTTAGGACGCTCGCTTGGTGGTGACATTTCACCTTCCCCTTTTCGGACGAACAGCAAACCCCCGCTAAAACACGCACAAACCGCTCATGAGCCTGGATTCAGGCCTTCCACATCCCTGTTAGTGACTGATCAGACACGCGTTCCACTCGGGGCCAAAGCACTCCCCCGGGCAAAAGCACCATCGACGGAGTTTATTGTCGACGAGGCTACTCAGGGTGATTGAACCTAGTTTGTTCAACCGAGACCAAACATGCCCTACGGCTACAATTGCTGCACAACTTGGCTCTTTCAGAATCCTGTTCGGAAGTTTCGCCACTGAGTTCTTGGGCGTCGTTTTTCCTACCAGGTTTGGGATTTTGCAACTTCGTATTTGATTAAAGATCGCAAGTGGAGACAGAGGGGTATAGGAAGATTGACATGAAGCTCGGCGGTATGCAGGTTCTGTAGAGAAATAAAGAGACGTTGATGATAGGATACCAACGAGATGGATTACGGACCAATAGCCACAAAAAGGTCCTCAAATTCCAGACGTTGAACAGATAGAGTGGTACCAAGGGATGTCAGGTATTAAGTATGCCCCCAAAACTGGGATCAATTGCTGATCCAACATCGACATCATCCCGCAGAACAGCGCTCCCACAACATGTATATAGATAGGAAAAGAGTCGGTCATGTGAAACTAATTCAATGACACGACTTGCCAAATCTTCGCAATTTGAAATAGTTATAAGGCAACGGCGCGAGAAATCCCCCAGTGGCGGACAAGACTGCGGCTGTCCAAAATCTCAGATCATGTAGTGCCACGATTCCACCGGTGAGGTTGTAGTCTATCAGGTTTTCGACCAGTTCCATGGCTGTCATTGAAATGAGACTCATCCCTGCTGCTGCCCTTATCGATGCTGATATGGGCAGCTTGTCCCGCCCAAAATGGAGGAGCGTCGTTTCCAGAAGTAGAGAAGCAACAATACCGGCTCCCACTAATTCAAAGTTCTTGTCAGTCGTTTGAACAAGGGTGTCATAGAGGGTTGAAACCTACTGGATAGCGCCATTGTGACACCCATTTCGAGCCCGGGATGGTAGGCTTGCAGATACCAAAGAGTCGAGAAGTCTCCCGTAGTACATCCAAGCAAACATCGAAGGGTATTTACCGATGCCCGTTTCCAGACGCTGCCCACGGTCCAAAATTCTACCTTTGAGGCATTCCGCAAAGGCACAGCCCGTGATCTCGCACTGCTATAGTCTCGTGATTGAGTCTTCAGCCTTCGTTTTGGCAACGGCGAGGGCTCCCAATACCGATTGCTGATCCGATCTCGGATGACAATGGGAGCGCGGCGTATCTGACACTCGATAAAAGGATGCCAGGGGAATCGAGAGAAGCGCTCAGGAAGAGGCCGAAAGTTCTGGACGTTCATATTGCCAGCTGTTCTTCTAAAGGAGCTTTCAAGGAGATGTCGAAATTTCTTCACCAGCAAGAACATAGTCTTGCCTGTTGCCTAGCAGTTCGGTGGTACAAATCACGCCTAGGCCGAAATCCTGGCAAAAATACCGTGCCGATCTTTTCAACGCAGAAATCCCTCGCAATTCTCTTTTGACGAAGGGAAGGACAAGCGTGCTTGGACGAAGCGCAAAAATGTCGCACTGTTTTAACTTTCTTGGCACCATCGGCCGTGACTCCTTAAATGCGACAACTCCTTTCTCCCGGTCGATTGGTAGAGCAGCCCAAACGTCTTCTTCCTCTGCAAGTTCCCCCTCATGAGTCCCTTCACATAAGAAAAGTAACAAAAGGCCCATATGGAACGTCCACTAAAGCTAAGGGACGCTTTCTCGACGGTTCTACCGGTCATTACCGCATCCCTTCATCTCTCCTGCTGTTGGGTTCCGGTAAGTGTCCCATTTCCGTGTCCAAATATGTTCGGTGAAGAAATACTAAATTGCTGACCAGGTTCTTCTCGACGTGATCTCGGTCGGGACTGCGTCAACGACATACATACCTCAGTCTCGAAATGTTTTCTTAATCCTGACCATCCTGATCCTAGCATGGTCAATCAATCGTGATGGCCTAAGCCGTCGGAACGTCCTTAGAATAGCACTCTCCATTTCCATCCTGCAGGGTCGAAAGATCGCCACCCTGCTACTCAACTCCACTGCTCAGGGTAGTAACTGCCATTAATCGCCCGCGTGGAAAGGCTGCTCGAATTGCGGCTAGATGGGCTGCCGATGGGGCTCGCGAAGGTAGTGTTGTCAAGCAGGCAGCAAAGACTAAGGGTGGCTTCCACCTGACTCAGATATCTTTGAAACCACGCATATGCCGGTTCTCAACCTTGTTTTGGGAAGATGAAGTTGAAGCCGTTCCTTTCAAAAAATCTAAATCTCAGCTTTCTTCACAAGAAATAACAGTCTCGGCGCCACGTTCGCTTGCAGAATGCCAGCGATATTTGCTACAAGGATCTTGCCCTTGAGGCCATCGAACCGGAACTGAAGCCCCAGTTACGGTAAAGCGAGATTATTACAGGGACGAAAAACTATGGATAGAAGTCGCGCGAGATGGAGGTATTGTTAGTTGGGCGATTAGAAGGTTGGGTGAAGGTATGTTGGGTACTGGTACACATTCAGTCGATGAAGATGTGCGAGGTTTAATTATTCAACAGGGAGAGCCAATCAGTAAGTAAACCAAAGCAAAGATGTTCCAGCATATATTCACTCCCAGATTGAGTGGGCTACCAGTATCTTGCTAAGTACTTCGAGAGTAAGACAGACTTTGTCCATAACCTTCAGCACACCAATTCGGCCGGCCCAACGACAGTTTCCCAGTTCAGCTCTCATGCGCTTCTTCAACAACTTTGCTGGACTTGAGATTTTTGCCGGATCTTTTTATTGCTTCGGAAACGGTCTTAAGTGTCACATCATCCTTAGTGACGACAATTACCGTTTGATCGGCTACCGAGATCTCAATTGATATGACCTCGGGTACGCGGTCAACCGCACGCTTAACTGCAGAGGCGCAACCTAGATACAATCCATGTCATGTTAGCAAGAGGCTAAAAACTTCGGAAGAGATTGAGTGATGATGAACTTGCCTCCACAGGACATGAAGACACTGAACTCGTAAGTGCGAGCCATGAAGACGAGCTATTTTTGAGGGGTGTTGTTGGAACAAGGACGATGGCCGGATGAAGTGAAGATGACTAGGAATTGTTGCGTGTCGGCGATGGGGCTGTGGACGCACTCATAAAGCTGGTCAGTTGTGTTCTCAAGTCAGAGCACTACTAAATGTTCTGAGCTATATGTGCTTGCTTTTTTATTGCGGTGGAGTATATATTCCAGTTTTGATTATCTGAGAACGAACTGGTGGACTATGCGTCACTTATGCGCTTTTAGACGCGCGCTCTCCATCCCCTGTCCAAGTGCCAGGCAGAAAACGCTCAGACGCTAAAAAGCGCTGCGCTATTTGTGCGTCTTCCCACCTAATGACGAAACAGTCTGAGACGGCCACACACAATCACAGCCCCGCTTATCGCATATTTGTTACGGGCGCTCATACCATTGCAAGTTGGAATCTTGATTTACCACATAGCTGGAACCTTCTGCGATGGCTTAGAGATCTATATAGCTCGATTCGCCCGCCTGCGACCCAAGATCTTTTTCTCTGGTGATTCCTCTACTCATCACGTGCGCTCACGATGACATTTCAACTGGAACAACACTTGCAGACGACATTTCTCATACCAAACTTACATTGTCCATCTTGCGCCTCACACATCGAGGCAGCCTTGTCTGAGCTCGACCCTAAGCCGTCCTCCATCCAAAT